AAACACGAGGAGCGGTACGATCACGCCTTTGCCTTGCCACGGTCTCCTGAAGAACCTGAAAAACATTAAACCACAACTGTAAGCCCGAAAGCTTAGTGAGATACCCCCAAAATACCAACCACATATACCATACACACATAACATGTTATATCATAACAAATCACAGAACAGCCATGCATATCGGGTCTACTGTGTGACTGGTCCGCCGTATCGGGCCTTCAGTCCACCGGGTCCACCCTCCGAGTCTAGTCATGTCCCTCAAGTCTGCAGTGTGGTTGGTCCGCCCGCACCGGGCCTTCAACCCACCTGGTCCACTCTCTGAGTCTACAGTATGACTGGTCCGCCCGCATCGGGCCTTCAGTCGGCCTGGTCCACTCTCCGAGCCTCGACACGTCTGGTCCGCCCTCGTGGGGCCTACAGCCTATCCGGACCGCTCGTTGGGCCTTCGGAATAACCGATCTGCCCTGGGTATGTTGGCCTACAGCACAAAGCAGGTCCCGCCTCAACCCAACCCCAGTCAAACAACCATGTGCACATAAACATACAATCATATAACAATTCACATTCAATCAAACCGATCTAGCAGATCACGTAACACAACATACTCTAAGCAGGATACCGACCTAACCGGTCACTAGCATAGCATCACCCTATATCCAGGATACCGACCTTAACCAGGTCTCTAACATATACCATCCTAACTACCAGGATGCAAACATAGTAAAACAGCAACATAACAACAATACCCGGATTACAATCCGATAAAGGGCTGGCCTTGGTGCCTTAGACCCTATTGATGTAGTGAGGATAACTCACCTCGCGATTGCCGAAACTCTGAACTGAAGAAGCCGATTCCCGAATCACCGACTCACCGAAAATCCCGAACTAGCCATCATAGCAAAAATAATCATTAGCCCAAACATAATATCCATCCAAGGGTAAATGGACCAATTTACCCTTAAATCAATTCTCGACCATAACTAAGGCCCACAATCAAATATGAAAGGCACATTACTAGCTAAGCTCTCAAGCCCACTAATGGCCCAAAAACCAAAGTCCAAAGCAAAGGCCCAATATTGGCCCAATTTACTAAATTGGGCTCACCTCACCAAATGGGCCTAGATCCAAGGTCCAAAATAATCATTGGGCCAAAAGTATTCTATCCATAATGTCCAGACATGGCCCATAAATCCAGCAGCCCAATAACAGTCCAAACTCGAAGGCCCAAAATGAAAATCCAACAGAGGGGTACGCTGGGCGTACAACAATGTTCGCAATATGGGATCGGTACACTGGCCCGTTACGCTGGGCGTACTCACAGGTAACGCGGGGCGTAACCTCACTGCTCAACAACATCACAAAACGACTTAATGGTTTAAGCTCTTAAGCCCAAACTTCAGATCCTTAGGCCAAATATGATTAGAATTCATAAAGTCTCAAACTTTATCACTTGGGACGTCCATAAAGCTCTTAATCCAAAGTCTTAATCCATTAAGACCTACTTATCTCACACATGGAACAACCACAGCCCTTGGGACCTCATTTTTCTCACTCAAGACCTCTCCTAAGGTCTGAAAGGACAAATAATCTTAACCAACTCGAAACATGCAACAAGATGAGGACTTTTGGGACAAGAATGGTGTCAAAGCTTCATAATACATAGATCTACACAATATGAATGTCAAGCAAGAAGCTTTATACCTCAAATAGGCTCCAAAAGGATGATGTCTTTCCATATCTATCAGCTCCAATCATTCCTCTCCTTCTTTGACAACTTCTCCTTTCTTCTTCTACCTTCTCTTTTGCCAAAATAAGCTTTCCAAGACCAAATCACCCAACAATGGAGGTGGGACGGCTATCTTGGGTTCCTGAGGTTAAGAGAGTGTTTATGGAGGCTAAGGAGGAAGCCTTTATGTTCTTTATATAGTGGTTGCCTTAAAATTAGGGTTTTGGGGATTCTGAGAGTACGCTGGGCGTACCTCCAGTACGTTGGCCGTACTCAACCATGCACCCGCGTTCATTTAGCCAATTACGCTGGGCGTAACCCAGCCTACGCTGGGCGTACCCAGTGTGCCCCCTTTTCTTCACTTGGTCTTCCCTTTCCACTTTTCCCATTAAGCTATAATCGATATCATCTTCGAAATGCCGTAACTCCTCTATTCTAAACCCACTCCCGATAAACTTTACATTCACACGAGGGTGGCGAGAAGCCCTATGCTTCTATCAACATACACCAGTCCGAAACCTTCTCGGATAAAACCCATTTCCCATAAAAGGACCAACATTACCCTTTCTCTTAAATCTCAGGGACTCATACATAAATACTTTAAGAACGGGGCGTTACAGAATTCCAAATTAATTTCTGATCAAATACTAATTAATTACCATGATTTCTAATTAATATATTATTCTCATAATACATTAATAAATCATTTATCCTTTTTGATAGCATTTGAGGTTAGATCTAAGTCTTGGAGTCCATGGAATCGTAGGAATAGTTGAATGTATTAAGCTCGGGCAAACTCGGCGAGTTTGCAAGCCACCACGGCGTGTAGGCTGGGATTTTTCCTAACCCTCTGATTACTGTAGGAACTCAACGTGTTTAGTGGTGCACTAGACGAGTTGGGTCAACATGGATTGTTAATCTTGACCTTTGACCGTGGTTGACTAAGTTTGACTTTTGAGGGCATTTTGGGTATTTCAGGATTTTTATGGAATTGGTCACATAGTGGTGTAGGCATTTGAGTCAGGAGCTGAGACTCGGAGTCAGACCTTAACAATTATGCACTACTTGAGAGGTGAGTCTTCCTCACTATACTTTCGAGTCGAAGATACCAAGGTCGACCCATTAGTTTGATAACATGATATTGTATGTTGAGTATGGATTAGACAGGCATGCTAGTTTGGTAGATCTGTAGGACTACCTGTGATACTGTCTGTTTATCTGAATATGTTATTATCTCATATATGTCGACATATGGTGTGTCTTGGGTTAAGGTTGTAGTGCTCTGTGTTGTAGCCAACAAACCTTGGAGCATACCAGATATGAGTTGAGGGCCAGGAAGGGCTATTTGTACGTACACTCCGAACAATATGTTCAATCCACATACAATAATACAAGTCGGCAGCCCATCATACTTTACAAGGCTTTTGGAAATACAAAATAGTGGAACACATCACAATCTACGTCAAGATTTGACTGAGCACATATGACAATGACAATTCGAAGACCAAAACGATGAGGATGAGAACAACGATGCAGACGAGTAATATTTTTTTTTCGATGTTTTATTAATGTTTTTTTTATTAGTAAAATGTATGTTGAATTTTAAAAATATTATTTTTATTTAAGTGAATATTTTTTTATTTATAAAATATTTTTATATGTTTAATAATTATGTTTTTTATTTAATGTAATGTAAATTTTTTTTAATAAAATAAAACATAAACAATATAGAGTGATAACCATTTCCAAATATTAGTGAATACGTAGTGAACATGTAATGGGGTAATGTGGCGTACAGATGACATCACTTTTCTAGTGAACATCTTGTGACGATACCCCTTAGTCTTATATAATTACAATCCGTCATTTTGATGAAAAAACAGCGAAATTTCATGAAGTAGAGTATATTATAAAACAATGAGACGAGTTGTGTAATTATAAAAAAGCAAAAAAATAAATAAATGATGAAAACAAATATATGAGAAAGAAATATCTACCTTTCATATCCACCTCGTTATCGTTTATTTGACCAAAATAAATAATAATAACTCCAGCTAACGTCCATAATTCATAGAAAAAACATGATGGAGAATCCTTCTGGCTTCTCATTATTGCACATTGTGATTACTCTTGGTAAGTTTTCACTTAGGCCCCCTCATCATTTCACTAATAACACTTTCCTACCTTATTTTCAAGCAAATAACCATTGGACCACTTTTGTAATAAGATAAAAACATATAGCAAGTACCCCCTACCCATGCAGCCAATTATTATTCCACTTGATGTCCCCACATTCACTGATGACCATTATACACATAGCCATATGCCTCCCACAATAGGCCAAGTGGGAAGTTTGTATGCGGACAAAAATGTATCTAGACAAAAAAATGTGTGGAGACGTGTATCATATCATGGTTATAATGTGTTTAACACGTAAAAAATATTAATTAAATTTATAATTTTTTATGCTGTTAACATGCATTTTTATATCTTATATTTGAAAAAGACAAACGTTTCAGATTGTTATTGCACAAGACCAATGATTTTTATATTTAATTTTTATTTGAACAATTATTTACCTACTAAAATCAATTAACATGTTATGTTAACAATAGATCATTCTAGTCAAATCTAAAGCATTTGTAACCAAGGTTATAGAAATCGTTATTCGGTACGTGTCCGGCCGACTACTAAGTAGCGAGTACCCGAAAAGCACTTGGATTCAGTAATTCATGTAGAAATATTTTTAAGGAAATTATATATGTTAAAATCATAAGTTAAAATCATAATATATAACAAAATTAGATACATGTGAATATACAAAAACATAAAAAATACGTAAGTCTCACTTCGTAAATAATTACTGAAAATTTAAAATATATACATAATAAAAACCACATATGTGTGTTAGATAATAAATCAGTAAGAGATTGATCGAAAAATACTCGAATTCTGTAACTCCTCTCAGTAAAAGACCAGCTGAATAATCGGTCAACTCGATGGGTTTTACATCACTGTTTGTAACCTTATTAAACCGGTTTTAGTAGATAAACAATGATTTAAATGAAAAAAATCAAATGATCGGCAGTTTTTCTAAAAAAAAAAATACAAAAAAATTATATCAATAACTTTTTAGGTAAAAAAGGCTTAAAAATTAAGGATTTTCTAAGATTTGTCCTAAAACCATGTTGATTTTTTACGGTTGTGGTCCAAATGAAAAGAGAAAATGAGATATACCATAATCCCATTATGCCAACAAAAAATTACTACAATGCCCCTTATTAGGTTTGCCTAATTAAAGTTTTGGAGTACACTACAATGACCACAATGCCAACAAAATGCCTAACTAAAGTTAAAAGAGCATCTTTAAGGGACCGCGAAATACAACACAATTCCCCTAATGCAAACAAAAAAGACCATAATACCCCTAACAAGTTGACCCAATTGAAGGGCAACATGAAAAATGATCATGATTCTACTCCATAATGACCCCAAACCGAATAAAATGAGAAACAACTATGACAATGACACTACTCCATTTTAACCTCCCAAACCCAACAAAATGACGAAAATACCCCTACCGAGTTGACTCATTAGCAACAAGATAAACAAACGACGGATAGAAGTACTTGATAAATCTCAATGATTGAAGATGTATAAACAAATCATATAAGTTTCAAGTTAAAATTACAGTTTCAAATTTCTTGCTCCCTTCTCTCTCCCTCTCTCTCTTTTCTCTTACAAATCTCCAAACTCCATGTCCATATAAAAGAAGAACGAGCCAAAGATTCTTCTCTCTTCACCTGAAACACACATCACAAAACAAAAATCAAACACTAAACACATTAACACAACAAATAGCAACATACTTTCATTCTTTCAAAATTATTCCTTACAATGACACTTTTCTGAAAATCAAGCTTCATCTTCATTATTATTATTACTATTAATCTGTGGGCCCGACCCCCCATCCGATGACTCGTTATCATCATCATCATCATCATCATCACCATCATCACCATCATCATCATTATCAACATCATCTACAACTCCTTCATTATGACTCTCCCCCCACAACCGTGTACTCGGTCTCCTCCTAATTGTGACATGGGCCCGGGCCCGCGAGGTCCCGGACCAACTACTACTACTCCTTGAGCCGCTTCGCGGTCTAAAAACCCTAATCAAGAAAAACACGGTCAACCAACCACCTTCATCAAAAGATAAAGCAGTAGTAGCACCACTATTTCCTGTTACACCATTTTCAAGATTTTCACCATTTTCATCAGCTATAGAAGATTGAAGAGTGCTCAATAAATCTCCCATGTCTCTTTGTCTTTCTAACCTCCTCCAATCCCTTTGTCTGTTTGGATCAGCTTCTGATGGTCTCACCAACGGGTGATCCAGCCTCGCGTGCTTTCTCAGGTCAGCATATGTTCCTGAAAACTCGCATGTTTCACTAGCACAGCTTCGGGTTTTTCCATTCATGAATCCTCGGGCAGCTTCCACCACTATCCATCCGGTCACCTGCCCGCGACATAGCGGGCAGGTTAGTGTTGTGACTGGTGTTTGCGTTGATGTTGGTGTAGGTGTAGGTGTAGGTGTTGGTGTTGGTGGTGTTTCTAATGATTCAGAAGATGCTTTCTGGAATTGGTCAAAGCAGTTGGAATGGCGATAGCTTGTGTCACACATGAATGGGCGACAACCTTTTTCATGGGAAGAACAGAGCAGGAGGATGGCGTTGTGTGGGTGTTCCATACATACTGGGCATCGAGCTTCTTCCCATTCTTTTATGTTTTCGGATTCTAATGGGTTTTTGGAAAGTGATCGTTTTGAATGACTGGTGTTGCAGACGTATGGAGATGTCCAAGACCTGTCGATGGAGACGGATCGGTCTCTTCTTTCCTTAGGCATCTTTATTGTTCTTCGATTTTCAAACAGTAATCCTGGTAGCATCACACAATCAATAAAAAGTTGGATTTTGATTTCATTTTTCATGCAATATCACAGAAAAAGAGGGCATAACAAAAATCGTATCAGAAATGAGAAAATTACGGTGGTAAAGCAACATATCAAAGACCTAATTAGAAAAAAAACAGATAATATATCACGAAATCGGAAGCCCTAAAAGTTACAAGCTGAAAATTGGCATCGTGAAGAACAAACGAGATGAAGTCAAACTACCGACAGAATCGAATTAAGCAGGTAAAAAGCCCTAGGAGATCCAGGAAAGTAAACAATCAGAAGCCATAAGCTTAATCGCGTAGAGAGCTGACAGACTTGGATTGAAATTGATCCTCAATTAAAGGTTTGATGAAAAACTTACCGGATAAACTATCTCGATTGCTTGATTCGTGAACTCTTAGTTCACGATTGATCTTCGATGAGTCAATCAAACTCGAAACGAGATAGCAGACAACTGTTTGGAGCTGATAATGTGAAAGAGCTTCTAGAGAGAGAAAAAAGAGGAGCTTCGTAGGGCAAAAGGGATGCTTTTATATATACAAATGAAGTGTCCGGTTTTTCAAAATTTAAACCGATTTAATTTTCATGAGTCGGCGCCGGTTTGTTTGTCGCCAATGAGATGAAACTTTTTACTTAGACCCTAAGCTTTTGTCTTTGTATAAAACTCGTCCCTAACGTGTAACAAACATGTATTGCAAATGACACTTCACCAACCATCGTTTCATCATCTCCAAATGATAGGAGTCATGAGATTCCACCCTTAAACACATCTCCAAATGACTGATTACTTCACCTACTATTTCATTCCACCATTACAACACATTTCACTCACATATTTCTATTTTACCAGTGAGGCTTTGAGTTGGACCGAGTTTTCGTGTACCTTAGAATCACGATTTAGGCCTTTACCCTTCGGAGAACCATCAAGTGATACCATTTAAGCTACACCAAACCACCACAATAGTAGCCTACTAAGCCAAGTCACTAATTGTGTTAACGACCTTTATCCATAAGCCCTATGTAATTGTTTTCTTTTCGGTTTAAGCCACGATATCAAATCTGAAACCTCCATCTACTTCCCACAATCTTTACACCGAACCTTCATATTAGCAAAATTTATCGAAGATTAACTAGCCATGAATATAATAAACATCAGTTGCCCCAACTTCAACAACACGTTGTCCACCACCACACCCCTCCTAACAGGACCGCATTAACTAAACCACACTTTACTCTTCATAATACTTTGTGTCGAATAACTTCCGGTATCCATAAAATTCTCACCCAACAAAAATTGTAATGTACCCTAAATTTTTTTAATCATCGACGACAATGATGTTTTTGATATTACCCGACCCTTTCCGAAACATGAACACCCACCCGTAACCACCCCCACTTCCCTTCATGATATCAAACCAAACCTACATTCATGATATCAAACCAAACCCACACTTCCCTTCACTTTCCACAACTGCTTTTCTAGGTCTACCATTGCCACAGGACATTCAGCTTAGTGACACCATTAATGACCACATCGTTACTACCTTAAATGATTTTGGTAGCACTTAGGGATGAGGGAGCCCTTCCCTCCCAAACCGCTTAACCTACTACCACATTAGTGACACATCAGCTTTTCTCCGTCCTCTCTCTTCTAACTCACGCAAACCATATCACATGAAAACCCTATTTCTTACAACCCACTCATTTTTTAATTTTAAAATAAATACATACTAATTAAAATATTTAAAAATTAATTAACAAAAAAATACAAACTAATTAACAAATTGATTAAGAAGATACTAAATTAGTTTGGTACAAGTCTTAACTCTTAAAGAAAGTAGAAGAACTACTCAATGCACAAGGATTAGAGAGAGAGAAAGAAAGAAAGAAAGAAAGAAAGAAAGAAAGAAAGAAAGAAAGAAAGAAAGAGTGGAGAGAGGAGGAGGAGGAAGCAGGTTCTTAAACCCATTATCGTCTAATAATACTCCAACCCGCCCTAAACCACTAGAGAACAAACCACAAACCGGTGGTACTGCCGGTACTACCCAAAGCCAATCTATAACCTATTGATGACTCTGTTCGGCCTTATAGCATATCCTAAACCTATATTGCTTCCTTTTTCAACATACCTTCGACCTATCTCTGTAACATCCCAAGTTCGGAACAAGAAGTGAAGGGTGCTAAGTTTAAATAAAGGAAGGGACTTGAAGAGTAGGTACGCTTACTTGTTGAGTCGAAGCGGGTTTGGATCGCGAATCAAGTGACCAACTCGCCGAGTCGGAAGCTGGACTCGACGAGTTAATGTTGGTATAAGAAAACCCTAATCTTAGGGTTTGCACCCTATTTAAAGGACTTTATGTCCTTATCCCAACCTATTATTCCCCCAAAGAGTTCCAAAAAAACCTTAATTCTATGTGAGGCTTCATTGTTGAGGAGATTGGAGCTTGGAAGAGGAATTTGGTGGAAGGAGCTTGAGGAATTAGAAGCTAGCATCAAGGGGCTTGTATAGATTTGGGATCTACATCAGTTTGGGCACATCTCAGAGGTGAGGAGCCATTGTCTTAAGTTATTTCCTTTTTGGTTCATCCTTGGTGGTTGTTTTGGGAGTTCCTTAGCTTGTTTGAGATCTATTTCGAGTTTGTAGTTTAGATATGAGGTTGCTACTCCAGATCTAGGCTTGTGATGGTCCATAATGTCATAAATTTTATGTTTAAGAGTTGTTGCTGAAGCCCCTTAGTCCTTAAATCTAGCCATAGTGTGTTTTGAGCCTATATCTCCTTGGTCTTACGTAAAGTTTGCAACTTTATGTGAGGATTGGGTTGTAGAAGAGTGGATCTATGGTTTGGAGCCTTTGCATGGATCGAAAAGCCTCTGAATGGATTGAGAACTGGAGAGACTCGGCGAGTCACATGGGTGTACTCGACGAGTTGTATAAACATGTGCATGGACTCGGCGAGTTGGAAGAACAACTCGACGAGTCTGTTGAAGATTGCCTTGGACTCGGTGAGTATGTTCTTGGACTCGGAAAGTCTGGTCGCAGAACCTAACCTTTTTTGGTTAAAGCCTTGGATTAAGTGAGTCGGTTGGCGACTCAGTGAGTCGGACAGGATGAGACTCATAGATCATTGGACTCGGCGAGTCTTCAGGCGACTCAGCGAGTTAAGTTGTGTAATGAGAGTTTTCTGGGTATGGGAACTCGGCGAGTCGATGGGGTGACTCAGTGAGTAGCGTCAAACAGGAAGGTTGACTTTGACTGGGGACTTTGACTTTGACTAAGAGTTGACCAGTTTGACTCCCAAGGGTATTGTGGTAACTCTGGTATTTATGGAATTGGTTCTTTTGGCAGTGTTCTGTGGTGAGGTTCTTGTCGGTGGTCGGAGCAACTTGGTCCTATCTCTTCAGTCGGCAATTGCAGGTGAGTTATCCTCACTATATCGACAGGGTCTACGGCACCAAGGCCGACCCTTTATCAGATGGAAATCCGGGTATTGTTTGTTATGTTATTACTTTGCTAGATTTGCATCCCGGTATTTAGGATGGTGTTATGTTAGTGACTTGGTTAAGGTTTGTACCCGGTATATAGGGTAATGTTATGCTAGTGACCAGTTAGGTCGGAATCCTGGTTAGGATGTTGATATACTATGTGATCTGATAGATTGTTGTCTGGTTAAGGATTTGTTATGTGATTAAGTGTTTTATGTGCACATGGTTGTTTGACGGGGGTTTGGGTTGAGGCGGCTCCTGCTTTGTGCTGTAGGCCAACATACCCAGGGCGGACCGGATATTCTGAAGGCCCAGCAAGCAGTCCGAATAGGCGGAAGGCCCCAAGAGGGCGGACCAGACGTGCCAAGGCTCGAAGAGTGGACCAGGCCGACTGAAGGCCTGGTGTGCACATATCAGTCATACTGTAGACTTAGAGAGTGGACCAGGTGGATTGAAGGCCCGGTACGGGCGGACCAATCACACTGTAGACTCGATATACATGGCTAGACTTGGAGGGTGGACCAGGTGGACTGAAGGCCCGGTGCGGCGGACTAGTCCCACAGTAGACCCGATGTGCATGGCTGTTCTATTTGTGATATGTTATGAGTATGTTTATGTGTGGTTGGTATTTTGGGGGTAACTCACTAAGCTTTCAGGCTTACAGTTAAATGTTTTGTTTCAGGTACTTCAGGAGATCGTGGCAAGGCGAAGGCATAATCGTACCACTCCTCATGTTTTATGAATTATGTGATATGGTTATAGGGAGTACTCTGATGTTTAAACTATTTTGAAAATGAATGTATGAACTTATCAGTTTTTGAATGAATTAAAATGTTTTAATTTGGCTCGAATTTTATGGTCGTTACAATCTCATAATTTATGGTTATGTTCGATAGTAGAGATCACCTCTAACATGATGATTTTTGATCCATGGTCAGTCTCAACCCAAATAAAACATCATTCAACAACCCTTTTAGTCTTACATATTATAGGGGTTGACATCATAATAGGACTCACATGGCTCAATGTTGAGATAAAATCTCTAATGATCGAAAGATTCAAACGGGTAATGAAAAACAAGAACACAAGAATTGATCAAAATATGCTTATTGATTCAAAGTCACGCCTTAGAAGAACTCAATGAAGAATTTCTATTGTAGAGGCGTGTAGGGTTATAAGGCTATTTTCCAAAAATTACAAAACACGGTGCATGCATGAACCTTAAATAGCTAAACCCTAATAATAAACTAATGGGTGGACAGGCCCAAGCACAATTACAAAATGGATTATTCTATTATACACATTGACACAACACATATCCCCAACAATCTCCCTTTTTGCGTCTAGTGAGGTGGGAGACTCTTCACTGTGGTGTCTTCTTTGTGGTCTTGAAGAGCTTGGGAATACTGCGAGAAGAGTTCTGCGAAACTCTATGTACCACTGAATCGTATCAGAGTAATCCTTCTTTGTAGCTTTGTTATTTATTTTGCATTTGTTGGATTAGTGTCTAAGCCCGTAACTATATTTGGTATGTACTTGACCCGGTTGTGCATGGTCCTTTTGGGTTGTCTTCACCAAAGCAACTTGATAGGATTATTTATGGAGAGGGAGAGAGGTTATTATGGTTTATTAATATATTATATGAATAATATATTCAAGGAGAAATCATATTGTTTAATTAATATTAGACATGAATAAATTGAGAATTAATTTCGTGGCTAAAAGACATTAATTAAATAAAGGAGACTAGAACTGTCAATTGTGTGATAGTTGAATATTGGGCTAATGGACTCCATAGAAGATTGGAGTGGACGAAATCGATGGGGAAACCCATTAGAATTCGTCCAAGGCTTCTAAGGAGGGAGTCCATGGGCTGCTTAGGGCCTAAGCGGTCAAATTAGGGTTTCCTAGTTCAAAACCCTAATAGCCTCACTATATAAGGAACCCCTAAGGCCCTAAAAATGCGAAGAAGGAATGTCTAAGGGTTCTCTAGGGTTCTTAAGTCTTGGATGAATTGCATGTACAATAGAGAAACCTAGATCCAAGCTATAAGGTTTGTATGAGAACATACGATGTTCTTTTGTATAAAACCCATCAGCATTGACCTGTAATATCCAAAATAAACTCCAAGCAAGTTGTAGAGAACAGATGCTTATCAAGCGATGCGAAGAGGCATTTTTCAAGTCACCACGAGCTTCTGAACCACGATGAAACTGTTGGGTTTTGAGCAATCTAACACTTCCTAAGTGTGCATGCAACCCTAATAAACCTTGGATCTATGTTTGTCTAAATACATGCAAAATAATAAATTTTCCAAGGTTTATAACCTATCTAACATGGCATGGGGAACATTTCAACATAAAAGAGTTAGAAGAGATTACATACCTTTTGATGAGTTTGGTTCTAAGGAGTTTGAGGGCCAAGCACCAATAGTGTGAATGCCTCAAATGGAAT